GTAAGTATAAACTTCCGAAAGAATCTCTGGTTTCGACGTGACGACTTCTCCACTTGTTTTAGTCAACTTCGTAAGGTGGCTCCTTCCAAGCTGTTGTACGAAGACTTTAGACCCCCGGTTCTGCTCAATTGCTCTCTGTATCAAGAGTGTATTGGAGCGTCGGAGGTCACGCCTTATCAGCTTGGAGATGGACTTATTCAGAGCCCGGTGCTCTGACGAAGTGACTAGTGGATCGTTTCGCCGCTTGTCCATTAGATCCAGAGTCTCTTTCGAAAGCTTAGACCGCTTGCCCGTACGTCCCAGCTTACAGAACTTCGCACCCTCGTCCCGAAGGATTTCTACCACTTGGTCGAGTTCCTCGTCGATGTTAACGTCAATTGTGGTTTCCAAGGCAGCGAATCGATTTTCCAGTTTCAGTTGGAATGCGTCAGAACCAACGGCCGATTGAAGCAGATTTGGCCGGAGCGTGGACTTCATCAATCGACAACGTTCGCGCTTAAAATTGATATTCAGAGTGCCTCTTAGAAGTCGGTGATCACTTCCAGTTTTAAACCTATTGATCACTGAGACATCTCTGAATATGCGCTTCTTGTCCGATATGATGAAGTCAATCTCGTTTTTGGTCATATTATCGGGGCTCCGCCACGTCCATTTCCTCTGGGGCTGTTTCTTAAAGAACGAATTCATTAAGAAAAGCCCCTCACGTTCTAAGAAATTGACGAGCATTTGCCCCCTATGATTCCTACTCCCGTAGCCGTATGATCCTAACATCGATTCGCCGCAGGTCTGTACTCCCACTTTAGCGTTGAAATCCCCCATGACAACGTTAAAGTGAGCCTTGGTGGTGGTGTGTAAGGCTCGAGAGATGTCCTCGTACATCTCTTCCACGACATCATCCGAGTATGTCGACGTTGGAGCGTACACTTGTATAACCTTTAGGCTATACCTTCTGGTTAATTTTATAATGAGGTACGCAACCCTCGCCGACACACTGGAGACTTCAATAACGCTGTCAGTGAGGACTTTGTTGACCAGGAACCCGACGCCGCCCTGTGACGGATTTTCTCCCTCTCTGAAGTACATAAGATGGCCAGACTTTAAGGTCAGCGTGTCCTCGCCCTCTCTGCGGACTTCGCTCAGCCCGAGCACGTGCCATCTTATGTGCCTCAGCTCCTCCTCCAGTTGTGCTAGATGAGAGTCGAGCCGTAGCGTGCGACCGTTATATGTCGCCAAGTTTAGTATTTTTTGGCGGCCTACCGTAGCCCGGAGATTCTTAGCACCCCCTGCCCTGCCGTAACCGAGACCGCCGCCTTGGCCTGGAATAGCAGGGCTACCGGGAACTGGGGGCCGGGACAATGTTGTACTTATCATGTAGGGGGGGTTTGGACCATAACCCACCACGCTGGTCCAGTGCGGGTTGGTGGGTGGTTTCGCCAGGGCCTCGTCTGTTATACAGCAGGACGCACCGCTTGCAGGGGAGGTTGGCTTGGGACCCTAAAGATATTGTGTGGGCCCCCTTGCGTCCCCTTGCGTGTAATCTGTGGTCGCTCTGTTTTACATAGATGACAATTTACTATAACGAACAGAATGTTTAAAAAAAACCCAACCCATGCGGGGATTTTTAAATTTACTCTAGCGCGGCAGAATAACATAAGGGGGCATCCTTGCATAATGTTCGGCTTGAGGTCCCCTTAGGATCTCGCCGTCCCCAAACCCGGTGACGCTGTAAAGGTCATTTGCGACCAACAGTATACACACTAAAAAAAAAAACTTTGTGAAGTACTCCCATAATTCCTGAACACCCTATGTAGGGTCGAACTAACTAACTAAATTAATTCCCTTATTTCATTAATGTTCGTTCATTATAGTACCTTCTTGTACATATTTAACTTAAAATAACTAAAGACCCCCGGGATGGAATTTGATGCGCTTTGTCACAGACGATCTTGACTATAACACCTTTCAAACAAATGTAGTTTAAGCCGTGGCGGACTTAGGTGCAGCGTCCATACATTTTTGCCCAATGTCCTTTGTCACTACAAATGAAGAGATACAAAAACTTTGAAATAGGAATTGTTAATTCAAATATATCTACATATATACTAATATTATAGAGAGGAATGATTTGATTGTTTGTTTCTTTCTATATGATAGGCTCTGAAGATACAGGACTGATTTAAAACATCTTTTGCATTTAGAATCCTACATTATTCCTGATGAATTAAGGCTATATAATATTTTCAAAAAAGTTAGGGTTCTGTATGAAAACTTCGATGGTGTAATCCAACGTGTGAAAAAAATACCAAAAAGTAACCATAAATCGCGAAGTTACTGACAATCGGGCAAAGTGATGTACTAAAGTTCTATAAAGGTCATCAATATCTACAAAAAAGTCTGCTATACCATAGGTACATCTAACTATTAAAGTAATGTCACAAAAACTACTTCTTCATGTTAAAATATGCAATAGTTATACCGGTATTAATCTTTACCCAAATAAAAAAAAGGACTAAATCAAGTACCTGTAAATTTACTTTTGTAATTCAAAAGTTCCATTCCCAAGATTCATACTATTCAGGAAGGGAGGGGGACAGTCTATAATACAAGCCTGAGAACAAAACTATAGTCTACAGCTCTACACCGAACGGAAGTGAGGCGGGCCACTAGTATTATTAATAGGCTAGTTGACCCTTTTTGGAAAAAGGTTTTAAATGGTTAATAAATGTTCTATTAGACCGAAAATAATGCATTGTATTTTTTTGAGACCTAGAATACTACAATTTTAAAATAGACTTTTCATGGACATACAAAAACGCCGTCGGCCATTTTTGTCTATAGATTATCTATGCTATGACGTCAACCGGTAGTAAAAAAAACTCGTAAGCATGTAGAAAATGACCTATCTGAGTTTATAATAAAAAAAAAACACGATTTCTAATAAATACCACGAAAAATATAGTAATTATCTTTATTCTATTGTAAGAGAATGTAAAAACACATCCTTGAAGACTCCAGGAAAGCTGTGGATTAAAGTGCCGAAAGGAATTAACCTACGCAATATCTAGTTAGAACTTGCTAAAAGGCATCCTGCAACTTTATCGACTCATAGTAAAATTTATTTTTGCGAAGATCACTTTGATGTAAGTACTCATTGAATAATATTTTAAGTCTCTTCTTTTATTATCAATTTTAATAATACAAGTTTTAAGGTTATGTATGAATGACATTTAGTTGTTTACTACCAAAGAGGTTTCACAATCATGGCGGATGAAGTGAACAGCGTTTTTAGTGTTTAAAAAGAATAGATTAAAAAAAATTTTTGAAATTCAATTTCTACATCAATATTCTGCTTTTATGAAGTGAAATCGATATATTTTGGTTCCTTACACCAAATACTTAAAGAAATAAACATTAATTTAATACAATTCGACATGAGTCAACTAGCCTATTCTAATTCTGCCCTCCTTATTGCAAACGCAGTAGGTACTTGCAGAATGGCGGTTTGGAGACAAACGCGATGAACAATATCTTGATATTTAATCAAGAAATCTCTGTTAAATAACTTTTAAAGTGTAATCTAAAAATATTAAATAAAACAGCTGTCTATGGACATATTTTTTTCTTTACACCGTTTCTGATCATTTCATCCAAATAAGGTTATTGCCTAATTTGGATAAAATGCAATCAGCAATGGTGAGTGCTGCGTTTGGCTTTAGTTAGTATTCGTTGCAAAAAAGTTATATGCTAAATCAATACAGAAAACATAGAAAGTACCTACTGTAGTATCTTCTAGCACGTGCTTAATGCTGCAGATCTTTTTAGCACAAGTAACATTTACGTGCAAGTACTGTGTTTCATGGCAAATAAAAAACATGTTTTCAATAACAAAAACCTTGTAAATATATTTTTTGCGTATAGATGACAAAAATGACGATTAATGCAAGTTCAATTAGCAGGGCAATTGTGGTATAATTAATGTCCGTCTTTTAAATGATAGCTACATATTATACCACCACTATCAGGATGATTTCTGGGAAAAAACAATCCTATTTCCTTTAACGGAATTTAAACTGTATCCATATTAAATTTCATCGTAATCGGTTCAACGGTTTAAGCGTTAAGACAGAGGGACATGCACACTTCCGCATTTATAATATTAGTATGGAAAGTATAGTCAAATATAGAGCAAAATTGTGCAGTGATACGTACGGTCCATAATTGTTCAAGTTTCGCGAGAGACTGTGATCTATTGGGTGACCAAAAATGTACTATCTTGAGATTCTCCACACTTCAGAATGCACGTCCCGGCAGCTTTATTAATTTGCTGTAGCTAGTACCCACAGTATTGTTTGCCTCGTTTTCCCTGTATGAGTCTGGTTCATAGGAAAAGTCTGTGTTCCAGCAGTGGGGACTTTCATGGGATTGTAAGAAAACAAATGTTGTTTTTAATAAAAACCATTGAAAATAATTTCGCTTATGAACTATTACTTGGATATTTCCAAATAAAAAATATGTGTACATATTCATACAAACTCTAATCAATCAATGAATGTATTATTCCAAACCTAAGGCATTGAAATTGAAAACCAATTCAATTTATTGCTATTTGCTATTGGTTTGAAATGAAAGGAATACATAATTTCATTTAATACATACGTGTTCGCAGACATAATTGAACGTCAACGTTTAATAATCGAGAAACATAATCAAACGCCATAACATATAAAAACGGAATATTTCTGTGTCCATCAAAATTAAACATAGTACCTAATCGGTGTTTTGGTATATTTATTTTAAGCATTTAACTGCTAGTATTATACATTTAAAGAAAATTTAAACAGAAAAAAAAACCACGTGGTCCAGGCAGCAGACGGGACTGGAAACCGCATCCTCAGCAATCCGGGCGGATGCACTAACCAATTATGCCACTGCGACCTAATCGGCCGTGTTAATGCAGTGGATTTTTTTAGTAGAATTTTCTTTAGAGTAATGCTACTTACAAGTTATAATGAACATCGGCCATATTAGGACGATGTTTGAGCGCCCTCTCAAAAGCTGTTTCTGCTTCCGTAGTCCGATCTTGCGCTGTGAGCACCGATCCAAGGTTTCCGTAGGCTGTGGACAAGTAATATAACATTTTAATATTGATGTCTTAAATATGAAATTACAATAATACGCACATGATTAGTAATTTAATTGATGAGAAGAAATTGTTTATGTTATGTTAGTATTCCTGGGTCCAAGGATTACAGAATAACATAATTTTAATCAAAAAACTATAAAAATCTTCATACACGTTTTTGATATTATTTTGACATCAAAATAATGTCGACAATTTCGTAATACTCAGTTTTTATAATATTCTGGCCATAAATACTGTACATAAAAAACGATTTTTTTCCCCCTTTTTTAATTATTTTGAATTTGGAACACGTATATTATTTTAAAAACTTCTTTCGATTTGCGCCATTTCACATATTTTTGTGTTCATTATCAAATTACAATATGGAATGGGGTGTTAAAGAAAATAGGATTGCAGTGATCGCTTTGCACAAAGTGGGTATGGAGCCGTCGGTCATATTCCAGACACTTCCAAAGCTTGGTATCAGCCGTATGTTCGTATATCGTACTACAAAAACACTTCGTCTTTGAAGACCAGAAACGATCAAGGTGGCCGCGTGCTGTTAGAACTACAAAAACTGTTAATACTGTTAAAGCTAGAATTCGTCCAAATTCGTCGTAATAAAACAAGATCTGAAGCTCGGTGCTTATCGTCGATATACAGGACATACCCTAAATCAATCTTTATTATTCAAAAGAGTGGATCGATCAAAACGCCTTCTGTCGCGATACGCAAGTGAAAAGCACAGAAATATCCTCTTTACAGATAAAATAATTTTCACGTTTGTAGAACCATACAATAAGCAAAATGATGAAGTTTACGCTCACAGTTCTTAAAAAGCTGCTCAAGTGGTCAGAAAGACACAACGTGGTCATCATCCTGCGTCAGTGATGGTTTGGTGGGGCGTGTCTTATCAACGCGTCACAAAACTACATTTTTGTGAAAAAGGAGTGAAAACTTCAGCCAAAGTGTATCAAGATACAGTCTTTGATCATGCTTTGAAACCTCTCAGCAATACACCTTTTAAAAATGTACCCTGGACTTTCCAGAAGGATTCTGCACCTGGTCACAAGGTACGAACTATCCAAGCCTGGCTTGAAACCAATCTGACTTTTTTAGAGCTGAACACTGGCCCTCATCTAACCCAGACATCAATCTTTTAGACTTCAAATTATGGTCAGTTTTAAAGGACATGGCCTGCTCTAAAAGACACGGCAACAATGAGTCTCTTTAAATATCTTTGGAGCAAGTAGTGGCAAAATTTGCCTTCGAAACAGGGCGTAATTCCATAGATTCGTAGCCAAACAGATAAAGGCCTGCATAAATCCCAAAGGTGGGCATATCGAATAGTTTTATTTTTATTTCATGCTGTCACTTTTTAAAATATGTAGGTATAAATTTTAATAATATTACATTACTTCATAAAAAAGCATTTTCATTTGTAACAGAACTTATAGCTGAGCTAGATATAATAATTATTTCTTCAAAAAAATATCGATGGTTTGCAATTTTCAGTTTGGATGTTCACCATGTATTAATTAAACATTTATATTCTTAATTGATGCTATATCATAATCAATTAGTTAAGTAATAAAAATAAAATAAAGCATAAAACCAAAAGTCCAATCCAAGAAATGAGATTTTTGCACACCTTTATAGAATCACTGTATTAAACCATAAATCGTTCGTGTACTAATCTTATTTCAGTCCATGACTATTGCAGGTATTAGCGCTGCTATAAAGATTTTCAAGTCGTTTTTTTATGCTCCATGTTTATGCTAAATTCAATAGCATTAACTTGGTACTGTAGAAAATATTGTATAATATAAAGGCGTCAAGAGTTTAGTTAGGCATTTCACATCACAGATTAGATAATGTCTGTGGTATTGTTAATTTTACCCCCTTATTAATAAACGTAGACTAACTAAGGTTGGATTAGTTACTGTTTTGTTCTGTCTTGTCTCTGTTCATTGAATGACAAATAGCACTTCAGTTATATGAACAAAACAGCGTAAGTCTAAGCTTATTCCTCGTTTATTAATAAGGAGGCTAAAGTTTAAGGTGAACAACGCACGAGCCGTGGTAAGCGGCGGATGGCGAAAGAGCAGTGCTACATGGAAGCGCTGAAGCTCTTGCCAAAATCGCGCGGACTATTTTTCGCTAGCAGTTTTTTTGGTTACACAAGTCGCAGAGAGACCACGTACAGCACCGCAAGTTCGGGCGGTTTTTTGTTCTAAACTTTATTTTGGAGTAACTAAAAATTCTGCTGGCGACAAACCACAACAACATCCGCGTTTCCACGCGATACCGCTACTCTGCCTACCGCCGCGGCTTACAGCTCGTGCGTTGGCACCATATTTACATCTTTATTGAGTGCAATGAAGTGTCTCACGAATCAACTTGAATTACCAATGTGTGAGTTAATAATACAATAGATGTTATCCCGGTTGATTGATCAGATACATTTATATGTTATTCGTAATTCAAAGATGAGTTTCACTGACCCTCTGGCTCGTAAGTAGGTACTTTTTTAGTTTCTTACTCGCTGCACGCAGAACTGTTATCCCTTAATTTAATTTTCGTTCTATGTTTTTCTTTTAATATAATATATTATTTTCAGTAAACAGTAAACAAAGCAAGCACACGTAACAATAGCGAAACGATTAAAGCATAACTGTAATTATTTCGTATCAACAAACTTTAACTAGGGCATTTCGCGCAGTTAATCTCGTCTAATGCAAAACAACAACATATAGATGTCCATTTATTTCCATTTTATTAACTGCGCGAACGTAAACGAATTACATGTAAATTCCGTAACGGCATCGTGTCGGTAGATAATTGTATTTTTGTTCGTCACGCTCGATGTGGGGTGAATAATACTGAATAAAGCTTTTATTATTATAAAACCGGCCTCGCTGTCGTGCCTAACGAATGCGAATAAACACTGACGGTCGCTTCACACTGTTACCCCGATGAAAATTAACTCGCCCTCAATGTTATGGCGCGTTATAACACATTCAGTTAAATAGTTGCTCATGTAATTACTATCGCGTCGTTAATGGTAGGTAGTTAGAATTTTTTATTTTTTCATCTGTGTCGAATTTACAACACTTTTATCGTAATTTGAGATTGTTTCGAGAATATAAGTAATTAGTTTTGGTTAGAAAATGTATGAAGTGGTTGCAAAAACATAATAGGAAGCATAATAAAACTCTTTCGTATCATCCATATTTTTTTCCCTTACACCCGTTAAGGACATTTTTTAAGGTATGGAGAAAAACGGGCGAAAAAACTCCACAGCGTCAAATCATGTAACAATATTGACAAAATATGAAATTTTTACAGTGTCAATTACAAAATTAGGTCATCTTTATCATAATAATAGAAACAAACTGTTGGTACGTTTGAAACAGTTAAACCCAAGCATTTTTGTCTTAAATATAAACAGATTGCTTATAATAACCTTTATTCGTAAGAACTTTTTTAATAGTAGCTTTAAATTTATTGATGCTCAATGGTTGGATATTGCTAGGGACTTTATTCTAGAAGCGTACCTACACAAAGACGTTTTAATTGAGTTATTAATTTTGTGATGCCTAGTAATTGGTACAGCTAATTTATTTTTATTTCTATAAATAAACGGGTGCTTATCACTATTTATAGGAAACAAATTGATAGTTTTTCGGACATACATTAAATTTCCATAAAGAAACTAAGTCACAACTGTCAATTACATAGATTTCTTTAATTTTTTCTCTTAAAGAATCTCTTGTCTTTACATTGTGAATTGCTCGAACAGCCCGCTCATGCAACACAAAAATAGTTTGAATGTCTGCAGCATTTCCCTTTAGCAGAATACCGTATGACATGACACTTCAAAAATAACAAAAAAAAAATACGGAGCGGTATCTACGTCAGTTAATTGGCATATCTTCATTACTGCATAGGCTGCAAAACTGTCTCTTCGACAATTTCTCAATATGTGGGCCATACTGAAGATTCGAATCTAGTGTAATGCCTAAGAATAATATAGTGTCTACCAGGTCCATACTCTTATCCTTGATAGTTACATGGGTTTGTACCTAGTCATAGTCATTTATTCCTAATACAATTTTCATCGTATTGGAAATCAAAAACAATTTACAATAAAATTATTACATAAAATTAAAATTACAATCTAATTAAATGACATATACCTACTTGACATCACCAATGACGACCTCCGTGGCCGAGTGGTTTGTACGCCGGGTTTCATGGTGTCCCCGACTCGAGAGGTCTCGGGTTCGAATCCCGGTGGGGGCAGATGTTTGTGTGATGAACATGAGCATTTGTACTCCAGTCATGGATGTTTAATATGTATTTCTATATAAATATACTTATATATGTACAGTATATGTATTCTATCCGTTACCCTAGCATCCCATAACACAAGCCTTATAGTGCTTACTTTGGGGCTAGGCTAATTGGTGTGTGTTCGAAATATTTATTTGTCAAGTAATAAAATTTTTAAACATTTTGTTTTACTTCATTAAGAAGTAAATTATTAGCATTAAACCCGTGAACTACTTTAGAGATGGCATTGTTTACGTCCTCAATAAGTGGTTGCTTTTGTTTAATTTTAAATAAAAGTGATTTATTATTTGATTATCCCTTACGAAGTAAGGTAAGTCATTTAAATATATTAAAAACAAGAATGGACCAAGAATCGAGCCCTGAGGAACACCCATCTTTACTAATGAACCGAAAGATGTTTTGCCATTGATGTCAACTCTCTGGATACTATCGTTCGAATATTACACAATAAGATCCAGAGTGCTTGCTACCTTTAAATCCATAGTGGCACAGTTTCCTGATTAATGATTCACGAAAAACTTAATCAATAGCCTTGGATAAATCACAAAAAGACACCTAAAGCATCACGCTACTCCTTGGCATCAAACATATTTTGTAAGAGCTTAACACCAGCATCAGTTGTTGAACGACCCCTTGT